AATAAATAAAAGACTGAACAATTGTAGACAGTGTAATAAAGACAATAATGAAATTGAAACAACGAATAACATAATAACATTAGCTACATAGAACTAAGAAAATAGTGCAACACGGAGAAAGACAATTAATAATATGCTAAGAAAACAACGATTAAAGACAAATACAAAAGAATGGGAAAATGTCAATACGAGTCACTACCGAGGTACTGCCTCGTAGTCTCAAATCATAAAAATAAATCACAATCTTGTTACATCTAAGTTTCAATAATGACAATAGTGCAAATCTAACTGTATCCATTTAATTGTAGAAAATTAGGAGGCAACACTACTTCAAAGGAAGTCCTTTTGGTAAGGACATCAGCAAGGAAACGAGATCAAAGGGAACAAGAACGATGCTAAATCAAAAGAAGTCAAAGCCATCAAAAAGGAAATAAAATCAAGTCCAGGCGTTAAAGGAAGTCAGAACAAGGCTAATCAAAGGACGTCAAGGCTATAAAAAAGGAAACGTATCAAGTGCAGCCGCTAAAGAAAATTAGGCCCTACTTCAAGGGCTGATTTAGAATCTGGAGATGCTGAAGATTGATCAATCAAATCAAGCCACAAATCACTCCCTTGATTTATGGATATGAAAGGGAATGACGTAAACGAATCCACACCATCTCTTGTGCAGGATTCGGAGGCACCCCTTGGGTCAAATCTCTTAGAACATTATGTGCCTCGAGTAAAGGTCAATCTGCAACGGCTACTCAAAACTCTCCTATAAGAAGATTGGAAAACTCAAGAAAACGATTATGCAACTATATCATTTGTTTCTAAGCCTTTCTAGTTCATAGTACAAACATTGTATTCTTGAGTCTACAAGTGTCACAAAAGATAGGAAGAGTTAGAACACAAAACGAGAGTTGTGTCAACATTGGAAAGAATTATTGTTGCTGTATATCGTTGGTGGTGAACGAACTAAAACCGTCAGTGCTGTAAACATTTATCAAAGATCTAAGAGAACTCTTATGACCCAAGAAGACTGGATGTAGGTACCACATCGGTATTGAACCAGTATAAAAACTGTTGTGTCTTCTTTATTCTTTTGCTCATTTGGTTTATCTCTACATAAATCAATCACTGCACGAAGTCTAGACCCCCTCCCCCCCTCTTGTACTTTCAATTGGTATCAGAGCAAGGCTCACGAACTTTACTTAACAGCAAGTGAGGAAATGATCATGGGATCAAATACAATCGTCGAAGCGCTATTTCAATAAGGAACCTCTCAGGTACAACCCCCGTATTTCAATGGTCGGCACTTTTCTCACTAGAAAGTACGTATGGAGACCTACACTATCTCATATGACATTAAAGTTTGGCACGTGATCAAAAAGGAAAATCTTCCAATTCCACCAAAGAAAGATGAAAATAGTCAAGTCATAGTATCAATTGATCCTCTTGATTTAGATGATTACACTGAAGAACAATCATCCGTCATAACAGTGAATGCTAAGGCAAAAAATCTTATGTACAATGCTATCAGTGGAGAAGAATATGAAAAGATATCAAACTGTGAAACTGCAAAGGAAATGTGGGATAAATTAGAGGTCACATATGAAGGAACCAACAAAGTGAAAGAAACAAGGATCAATCTCCTAGTTCGAGACTATGAATTATTTCAAATAAAGGATGGAGAATCAGTAGAGGAAATGTTCTCCAGGTTCAGCAAAATCCTTGGAGACTTAAAGTCATTTGGTAGACCAATCAAAAGCGGAGAACAGATCAAAACAATTATGAGAAGTCTTCACACAATTGGCAAACCCAAATTCATTGCTTTGGAATGTCAGGATCTTGACAAAATATCATATGATGAACTTAGAGGTGATCGAATTGCATTTGAGAAAACACACTTAGAGAGGCAGATTCAACAAGAAAAGAAGAAGACAGTTGCATTCAAAGCAACTGTGGCTGAACCAGAAAATAAAGAGGAAGAGGAAGGAGGAGAACAAGATGAAAACATAGCCATGCTCTCTCAAGTTGTGACAAGCATGCTGAGGAAAAACAGAAATAGCAGGAAAGGTAAATCAAACTTCAAAAAAGGAAGGATGAACAATGATAATGACAAAAATGATGGAAGATGCTATGAATGTGGAAAACATGGATACATTCAAGCTGAATGCCCTGGACTGAAAAAGAAACTCAGCAGGAACTTTCAAAAGAAGAAATCCGTAGGATCTTGGAGTGATGAAGAAGAATCTGATCACGAAGAAATCACCAACATGTGCTTTATGGCCATCGATGGAGATAGCAATGAAAACTCAAGTGAACTTTGTCTCATGGCAGACGAAGGTACAAGTGAGGTACGTCTTCCTACATGTCCTAACTGTCATGAACTTTAAGAACCTATTGACATTGCTCTTGCAGATATTGAGAAAGTTCTGAATGAACTTCGAAAAATCCAAAGAGAAAAGAAAGATTGAGATTTGAAGTTAGAAGTATGTGAAATTGAGAGAGATATGCTTCAAGATGAAGTTAATGAACTTCAACTTCAACTGAATGGATTACGAAGATCCACCAGTCATAGCTTAGTTAGATCAAATCAGTTTGTTCCTCATAATCCTCCACCTAGAACTAGAAATCCTTCTTCATGTACTCACTGTGGTAAAAATGGGCACATCTCTAACCATTGCAGGTTTAGAATCAGAGGAGAAAAAGCCTCTGAAAGCTCTAATAATCCCTCATGTATTTTCTTTTTCTGCGGGAACAACGCAAGAAGAATAGAAAAGGGAAATGGTATCTTGATAGCGCATGTTCCAGACATATGACTTGTGACAAACAACTGTTCAAGACGGTCACCAAATTAGATGGAGGAACTGTCACGCTTGGAGACAAATCAAAAGGAAACGTAATTGGAGTTGGAAGATTCCCTCTCAGCTCAACATGTGATGTAGATAAAGTATACCTGGTTGATGAACTTGGTTACAATCTTCTCAGTATCAGTCAACTATGTGACAATGACTATGAGGTTCGTTTTAAAAAAACATGGTTGGTTTATTGAAGACAAATCAGGTAAAGTTACTTTTTCTGGAAATAGAGACAAGAATGTCTACACTATCAGTAATATAGATAGTCTTGGTGATCAAATATGTCTAGCTTCTATGATTGATGATCCCTGGGTATGGCATAGAAAGCTTGGCCATGCTAGCATGCATACTATTCAAACTTTCTAAACGCGATCTTGTCATTGGTCTTCCAAAACTAGATTTTTCAAAAGATCATATTTGTGATGCATGTCAATTAGGAAAACAAACTCATTCATCTTCAAAATCAAAATATTGTTTCTACTACTAAACCTCTTCATCTCTTGCATATGGATTTGTTTGGTCCAACTAGAACTGCTAATATTGGTGGTAGAAATATGCTTTTGTTATCGAGATGATTTTTCTCATTTCACTTGGGTTATTTTTCTGAATCATAAATATGAAGCTCTAAAGAATTTTGAAGTCTTTTGTAAGAAGGTACAACGTGAAAAAGGATACTACATCTCTACTATTAGGAGTGACCATGGAGGAGAGTTGAGAGCAGAGCTTTTGAAAACTTTTGCAACGATCAAGGAATCTCTCACAACTTCTCTTCGCCAAGATCACCTCAACAGAATGGAATGGTAGAACGTAAAAACAGAACTTTGCAGGACATGGCAAGAACCATGATTGTGGAAAACTCTCTACCTCACCACTTCTGGGAAGAAGCTGTAAGCACAGCATGTCATATTATCACCAGATGTCTGATTCGATCCATTCTTAAAAACACTCCATATGAGCTATGGAATGGTAAGATACCCAACATCAGTTACTTCCACCCATTTGGATGAAAATGCTTCATTCACAATAATAGAAAAAACAACTTGGGTAAGTTTAATCCAAAAAGCTACGAAGGTATTTTTCTTGGATGTTATCCCTCAAGTAGAGCATATAGAGTTTACAATAAAAGAACTTTATGCATTAAAGAATCCATTCATGTGTGTTTTTGTGGATACTAACTCTCGCTCAAGGAATGAAAAACTTCTTGAAGATGAGAAAATCTCTATTGTACCAAAGTTTGTTGTTACAGGAAAAGATAGTCATGATCAGTCGACCAATCAGCAGAATCAGTCAAGTAAGGAGCACATTGAAATCTAGGAACCATCTTCTGCTGAACAGTCAACCATTGTGGAAAAGGAGCCAATCGCAAGTATTCCAAATGAATGAAAAAGTGAACCTGGATATCCCCACATGTTCATCATTGGAAATCCACAAGAAGGTATCACTACCAGAAGATCTCAGAAGCTCAACTCTCACATTGGCTTAATATCACAACTTGAGCCAAAAAAGGTTGATGAAGCCCTTAAAGACGACTACTAGGTCAAAGCTATGAAGGATGAACTTGATCAATTTGAAAGAAATAAAGTGTGGGATTTGTTTCCAAAAATCATCAAATGCTTCCATTGTAGAAACTAAATGGGTTTTCAGAAATAACTTTAATGAGTCTGGTCAAGTAGTTCGTAAAAAGCAAGGCTAGTTGCTCAATGTTACTCTCAACAAGAGGGAATCGGCTACAATGCAACATTTTCACCTGTAGCAAGATTAGAATCCATTCCAATACTACTTACTTTTGGTGCTCATAAAGGATTCAAACTATTTCTAATGGATGTAAAAAGTGCCTTCCTAAATGGATACATCTCTGAAGAAGTATACGCGAAACAACCTTCTGGCTTTGTAAGTGACAGCTTCCCAAACCATGTATTCAAGCTGTCTAAAGCTCTTTACGGACTCAAAAAAGCTCCTCGAGCCTGGTATGAAAGACTAAGTTCTTTTCTTCTAAATCAAGGTTTCAAACGAGGTAATATCGACACAACCTTGTTCATTAAGCACTCAAATTCAGGTAATCTTATTACTTAAATTTATGTTGACGATATTATTTTTGGAAGCCCTAACTCTATATTATGTGAAGAATTCGCTCATATTATGAAAGGAGAATTCGAAATGAGCATGATGATAGAGCTAACTTTCTTTCTTGGACTGCAAATCAAGCAATCTCCCAAAGAGATTTTTCTTAACCAAACCAAGTACACCAAGGAACTTATAAAGAAGTTTGGTATGGAGAATGCAAATTCCATTGGAACTCCAATGAGTCCAACAACTACGCTTGAAGAAGACAAGAATAGAAAAAATATGGATGAAACAATGTATAGAGGAATGATTGGATCTTTATTATATCTCACTGCTAGTCGACCAGATATAATGTTCAGTGTATGTAAGTGTGCAAGGTTTCAGTCAGCTCCAAAAGAATCCCATCGTACTGCAGTTAAACGCATTATTAGATATCTCACTGGGACCAGTAAATTAGGATTATGGTATGCTCATTCTAACAATTTTGTTTTAAAAAGTTTTTCAGATGCAGATTTTGTAGGTGATAGGATTGATAGGAAAAGTACTAGTGACACATTCCAATTATTGGGGAAATGCTCTAATTTCCTGGCATAGCAAGAAACAAAATTGTGTTGCCTTGTCAACTACTGGAACAGAATATTTTGTTGTTGGAAGTTGTTGTACACAAGTTCTTTGGATCATGCATCAACTTCTCGATTATGATTTATCTCTTACCTCTAGTCCTATATTCTGTGATTTTACAAGTGTTATATGTTTGTCAAAGAATTATGTGGATCACTCTAGGGCAACACATATAGAAATTACGCATCATTTTATTTGTGATCGTGTTGCAAAAGGTGATATCGTGTAAGAATTCATTAGTGTTGAGTCTCAACTTGCTGATATTCATACAAAACCTCTTTTGGAAGAAAGATCTTGTCTACTGCGTAAAAAGATTGGTATTACATCTGTTATGTAAAAAATCTTTCGTATCTTTATAAAATATTTTACTTCCTTTCTTAGTTTGCTTAATTGATGAGTGTATTAATTTGATGTGAGTGTTATTATTACACTTCCATTAGTGCCGCCGAAGCAACTCCTCAGAAGTGTCACTTCCTTCTGAACCTGACCTTTCCTTTAATTGATGCAACCCTTCAACCTTCCAAAAGCCTAGATAAGTACCCCTTCCTCTCTCGTTATCCATCACTTCTCACAAAATTCCTCTATCATGGCAAAGAGAAACATCTCATCTTCCACTGCCACAAGATGAAGCAGATGATTCAGAAAACCCACAACCCTGAAGAAATCGTCGACCTTGAATCATCCCTCGATTCAGACTTCCTTAAAACCATTAATGAAAGCAGTGACTCATCGGAGGATCTTCCTATTAACCAGAAAACGCAAGAAAAGGCCTATAAAGCAAACCCCTAAAAAGCCTGCATGCAAGAAAGGGAAAGTGGAAAGCACAGATTTTGGGCCAGAGGACAAACTAAACTTCTATGGACCAAGTGAGAAATCAAGGTTTGAGTCCTATAAGTCTAAATCTATGGCTTATGGATGCTCTGTAAGTCTCCCTCTTATGAAAAATTTGCACTGTGATGTGATTGCTATTTTTTACTTTCAACGTCGTTCTCCTCTGTTTGATACTATTGGAAATACTATGTATGAAGTGCCTGTAAGGATGTTTTATGCAAATCTATTTGTTAATGACAAAGATGATTTGGAGTCAATGATTTTAGGCATGCGGATTGTTCTTATTCCTATCAATTTGAGAAGATATTTTCTGCTAAGTTTCATGGTTATGATGTTTTTGTGCAAAATTCCTGACCTAAAGACTTTGAAGTTTCTTTAGAAGGGGCAAAAGCTTTTCTGTCTGAAAACCCTCCTGACATTGGTCCTAAAAATCTCAAGTTTGAACACCGCATTTTAGCCCACATGATAGCTACTACTTTACTTCCTAGAACTGGGCCCCCTTAGTACTTTGACTACTAGAGATATCTTTGTTCCTTACTGTCTTGTGAACAATAAAAGGCTTGACTGGTTTGTTTGGATTCGTCAGTATATGCTTGAAAGCATCAGGGATATATCCTCTTCTGCTGCTTGTTTACCCTATAGTTTGCTCATATCACATATTCTTGAAGTCATGAAGGTTGACTTGGCATCTTTCTCGCCCAAGCATATTACTAGTACCTATGAAAAGACAACCTTTGCTATGATTGGTTACACCTTAAGTGACGATGGATGGGTCAGACGTGCCAAGGTTGAAAGTGCTCCAGTACATGTCGAAGCACCTACTGAACCAACAGAGCCTCATTCGATTGCCACTAAAAACATACAATAGATTCAGCAAAGTCTAGATGGGGTAAAAATCCTGCTCATTGCAATGAAAAAACAGGTGGACAAGATCAGGGAAGTCACCAAAGAAACAGGTACAGACGTGGCTAAGCTCAGGATGGACATGGCAGCCACGAGAAGGCAAGGAATCAGGGAATTCAACTCCATGACAGAAAAGATGGACAAAATCACCAAAGAAGTTGAAACCTCCTATGACTCTTTCTGCACCAAAGTGATCAATACCCTTAAGTACTTTCTGGGGAGGAACTAAGGCAGTGTGTGTGTGTGTTTAAAATAATTTTTCGTCGTTGCTTGTTTTTATTTTGTGAAACTCTTTTGCGTTGGTCTGTAAGAACCATCACTATGTGCCTCTGCGGAAGGCATAACCTCTGCTACCCTAACTACTTTGTTTATTATCTACATTATTATATCTATTTTGCCTACACTTATTTTTCTTCTTTTTGATTGATGTCAAAGGGGAAGAAACATGATTGAGTAAACCAGAGCAACAACTCAGGGGGAGCATTGATGAGTAAACCAAAGCAACAACTCAGGGGGAGCAGGCATCTTAAGTTATGAAAGGGAAGTATACTATGTTTACTCTTTTTGATTGTCATCATAAAAAAGGGGGAGATTGTTACACCTAAATTTCAATGATGACAATAGTGCAAATCTAACTGTATTCATTTAATTGCAGAAAATTAGGAGGCAACACTACTTCAAAGGAAGTCCTTTTGGTAAGGACATCAGAAAGGAAACGAGATCAAAGGGAACAAGAACGATGCTAAATCAAAGGAAGTCAAAACAATAAAAAAGGAAACAAAATCAAGTCCAGGCGTTATAGGAAGTCAGAACAAGGCTAAATCAAAGGACGTCGAGGCTATATAAAAGGAAACGTATCAAGTGCAGCCGCTAAAGGAAATTAGGCCCTACTTCAAGGATTGATTTAGAATTTGGATATACTGAAGATTGATCAATCAAATCAAGCTACAAATCACTCCCTTGATTATGGATATGAAAGGTAGGGACGTAAACGAATCCAGCCCATCTCTTATGCAGGATTCGGAGGCACCCCTTGGGTCAAATCTCTTAGAACATTCTGTGCCTCAATCAAAGTTCAATATGCAACGGCTACTCAAAACTCTCCTATAAGAAGATTGGCAAACTCAAGAAGACGATTACACAACTACATCATCTGTTTTTAAGCCTTTCTAGTTCTTAGTACAAACATTGTATTCTTGAGCCTACAAGTGTCACAAAAGATAGGAAGAGTTAGAACACAAAACGGGAGTTGTGTCAACATTGGAAAGAATTATTGTTGATGTATATCGTTGGTGGTGAACGAACTAAAACCATCACTGCTGTAAACATTTATCAAAGATCTAAGAGAACCCTTGTGACCCAAGGGAACTGATGTAGGTACCACACTGGTACTGAACCAGTATAAAAACTGTTGTGTCTTCTTTATCCTTTTGCTCATTTAGTTTATCTCTACATAAATCAATCACTACACAAAGTCTAGTCGACTAAACTCATACTTAGTCAACTAAGATTTTTAAATCGGTTACTATCCACCCCCCTCTTGTACTTTCAAATCTTTCCTTGTATCACCGCGGGTGTGATCACGCCCAACTCTAGTCCTAAAAAGTATAAGCGATCGCTGCAAATATAATCTGGTTTACAAGTCCGGAGTCGAATCTCACAGAGAACTAAGGCTTAGCTATAGTTGTTCAATATCGCTAAGAAACACAAGTCCAAATAATTTTCTAATTATAAAGATTATAATATTTATTTTTATCTAATTAACTAATAAATCTAGAAAGCCGTAAAACTATCAATTAACAAGGATAAGGATTGGAGTCAAGATTAAGGAGGTCTAGAGTTATGATTTCCCCAATTGTCGGAATCCTTCCCTCTACGTTTTCTATAAATTCGCCTAAGTATTCTCTACCGATCATGAGCGCTTTGACTGTCGTAACTCTCTCCCGAGTAATTACCAAAATTTACTAGACGCACTCTCCCGAGTTACGCTAGCTGGCTTTGTTTATTACAGCTCACTTTAGATTGCACTCAAGGCTTCGTTATCCCTAATCCCGCCTTTAAACCCGCAGTTATAGATCCCTCTTATACTTTGGGAGTGATGTTGTTCAACAACTACCTAAATATGCACTCTCTCCCGAGTTATGCACACTAAATAGGCACAGCTAATTGAGGATCCTGTCAATTAACTACAACAAACACGTAGTTGAACAAATAGAGAAAATACTACGGCTCAATTATATAAAAATAACAAGAATTTATCCTACAAAAGGTTCCATCAAAATCCTAGATAAAAAATTAGCTATTCATAATAGCATGTAAAGCTACAATACTAAAAGTCATAACCAACAATGAAAAATAGGAAGAGGAAGGAAAAACTCGTAGAAGAATTCCCCGCCTTGCTCCTAGCGCGTTCTTGCCTCCAAGGGTATTGTCTCACCCTAAAATAGTCTCTTCTATTCTAAAAACAAGCCTCCTCCTATCTTGGGCGAGTTTCTACAGCTTATAAGGGTTTTACAAAAGTTTTCCCGAAATTACACTTTGGCCCCCAAATTTCCAGGTTCGTGAACAGTTCACCGCGGCGCGGCGTGGACCGCGGTGAACACTGCCCATTCTGTTTTTTGTGTTTTATCTTCCCACGTTGCACCGCGGTCCACCGCGGTCGCGGTGGACTTTTGCCCAGGCCATTTTCTTCTGCTCCTTTGTGTTCGGGTACTTCTTGAGTGGGTGTTTTCTTCACATTATCGCCTCCAAACACTTCATGTTGCTTCCTCACATATAATATTCCCTGCGAAACCAAATAACACTATTTAAGGCATTTTGTTGGCAATTTACCTTATAAAACAACAACAAAGCATGAGCAATTAAGGTGTAAATATCAACTATATAGCCTACTATCAACACCCCACACTTAAATTATTGCTAGTCCTCGAGCAATTCACCACACTCCATCAAAATTCCTTTCCTAAACTTTTCCCTCAACGACTAATACCATGAACATTTTACAAAAGTTGCACCTAGTAGTGAACAACCTTTACCTCAAGAGTCAAACCTTTTGTACCATGCTGCACTTGCACTTACTCAAACTACTCCATACAAGAGTCAAGACTTACCTTTCCTTCGTGAATCACATGCCCTCACATCACGCAGGAGAGTAGTTCCACATATAATGCTAATTAGAACAAGTAGGAACTAAGAAAGACAAAATTCGCTCACTCTCAGAAAGAACATTCACATGCCAT